TTAGATAATAAAATAGATGCCATAAATTTGGAGTTCAGGGAAGAGATGTCTGAACTTAAAACCTTGCTGAAGGAACAACTGTCCCAGAAACCTGAGAGAGCTCAAGAGCGATCCTCAGATCAGGTTGATTTTATGAAACAATTTGCTGAACAGTTTTCATCTTTAAAAGAAGACCTCACGAAAAATATCAATGATGTTATTGACAATAAAGTAAACACTGTTGTAACAAAATCCGGTACTGTTTCTCATACAAAGGACGTTCTCTATTCCAGCTTGTTTACCGACTCAAACAGTTCCACACCATCTGCTCAACCACCACATGTTCCAATTGCCTCAACACGTACACAACCTTCATCACCCGAGATTCTAATTCTGTCCCCGAAAGAAGAACAATCGGTAAATGCTGCAACAATGACGAATGTGAAAAAATTTGCTACTGATAAATTAAAGAGCAGTCAAGTAGTATTTCTCAGATGTAATGAAAACAACAAGAAAGTTTCAATTGGCTTCCCTAATGCTGAAATTCGTGATAAGGCTACTTCACTTCTCAATGATGGAAATACCGGTTAGATTCGTATGGATATCAGTCTAAGAATGGCAACAAAATGCTGCCAAAAGTTACTATTTATGGTGTTTCTTCTGAAGTTCTTGACGATATAGACACTTCAGCTGTAGGGAATGATGCCGATAAACTTAGGGATCTTGAAAAGAACCACTTAGTCGCCCAAATTGTGGAGAAAAACTCGTCCATCAAAGATTTGTATGAAGCAGGGCACACTATCAGTATTGTCTATCTCAATAAGATAAAACGTTTCACCAACGATAAGCAGGAACGCATAGAGCTCACTATTGGAATCAAACTATCACCATCTGTCTATAGAGTCCTCTTTAACCAACAACAAGGATCTCTCTATTTAGGTAGTCGCAGATACAAAGTAACTGATCGCTTCTACATCAAACAGTGTTATCATTGTCAAATGATTGGACACACTTCTGTTGACTGTAATGAAGTCAAAACAAATAAACATCCTACCTGCATGTACTGTATGGGAAGTCACCGGTCTTCAGCATGCCAATTTAAGCAGAAGAAGGACAAACATGCCTGTGCTCGATGTTTGTCTTCAACACACACTAATGATGCCGAGAATTCAAGAACACATAATGCAGCAGCTTACGATTGTCCTGTGTTGGTAAGAGAAACTAAACGTATTGCTGCTAACACTGACTTTATTTCAAAAAACGTAATGTGAAATTAGGTGCTAATCGACAGAAATCACAGCTCTCTATTGGTTGTTTCAACGCAAGGTCTCTATGCAACAAAACTTGTGGCGTACTAGAAATGCTTAAAGATAACTCGATTTCTATCTGTTGTATCACGGAAACTTGGCTAAAAACTAATGATCGGGCAAAGTTTGCCGAAATCTGTGATTTTGGGTTCGATATTATCAGTGCCCCTCGAAGAGGTAGGGGAGGTGGTGTTGGTTTTCTCTTCAACCCCAAAATGATATCGCCTGTACGCAATGATGTTACTAAATATTCATCTTTTGAAGTACTTGAATGTGTCATTAAAACTGCTGGTGAGATTATCAGGCTATGTGTAGTTTATCGCAGCACTCAGGCCAAAGCGAAATATGATGAAACAAAAATATCTAAGTTCATGGATGACTTTGATGGATACCTGGACAATCTTCTGCTTAAAACTGGATCTCCAATTATTTGTGGTGACTTTAATTTCCATGTTGAAGACATATACAATAATGTTGCCCAGAACTTTATTGCTCTTTGTGAGAGCAAAGGCTTCCTTCAGCATGTCGACTCTCCTACTCACATCTCCGGCGGGACACTGGACTTGTTATTTACTCTAGGCTGTGTAAGTGACTCATTGTCTGTAACAGATATGATGGTAGAGACAAGCACTGGAACCAGCTCTGATCACTATCTAGTAAGTTTTCAGGTCCCAGTCACATTCGATCTTCATAAAGCTCGTACATATGAAGAAAAAGATGTCAGAGAGCTAAGCAAAATTGACATCGATAAGTTCAGGGAAGATCTGTTTTGTTCAGAGCTTAACCTTTCTGAATATCAATCCTTAGACGAGGCTGTGAACCTTTATCAAAATGTCCTTGAACAGGTGCTAGACAAACATGCCCCACTTATTACGAAACGATTTACTGCTGAAAAGTCTGATTTTTGGGATAATAAATGTCAAATTGCTGTCAGAGAGAGGAGAAGGGCAAAACGAAAAGCCAAAAAGTATCCAGAGAATGATGAGTTTAAAACTAATCATTTTGAAAAATGTGTTGACGCAGAAATCACTATCAATCGAGCTAGGGATGGCTACTATGATAAACAGCTCAGTTCTTGCAAAGGAGACTCGAAAGGGACCTATAAAGTCATAAATAAACTTTTAGATAAGGAATATGGCTCCAACAAATTGCCAAATGGTGAAGATATCGAAGTGGCTGCCAAACTCAAGACTTTCTTCGATCAAAAAGTAAAGACCATTTACTCTAATATTGAGAAGGAAATTCAAAACACTTCCCTGAACGGTCAAGGTACCAAGGACTCTACTTCGATAGATAATGCAAAGTGTAGACTTAATCAGTTTAAGGAAGTCTCATTATCAGACCTTGAAACCTTGATTAAGAGTCTTCCCAATAAATCAAGCGTACTCGATGTCATACCAATGTGGCTCTTCAAGAACTGCTTACCCGAACTTCTCCCAATCATCCATTACATCGTGAATGAATCACTAAGAGTCGGAAAGTTTCCATCTGCCCTAAAAGAAGCATCTATTAGGCCTGGTCTCAAGAAACCTACCTTAGATGTTGATGAGCTGAAAAACTATCGACCGATTAGCAATCTAACTTATCTGTCCAAAATACTAGAAAAAGTAGTTCATTGCCAATTAAATGAATATGCTGATGTCAACAACCTGTTTTCCCCATATCAATCAGGCTATAGAAAATTCCATAGTTGTGAAAAGTCTGCAGTTACCAAAATACATAATGATATTCTAATGATGATTGACAGCAAATCGAATGTTGTGCTTCTACTCTTAGATCTATCAGCTGCTTTCGACACCATAAACCATAACCTCCTTCTTACAAAACTCAAGAATGCGTATGGTATTACAGAACTAGCACTCAGCTGGTTACAATGTTACCTTAATAATCGCACATTCAAGGTTAAAGTAAAAAAAGCCACATCTTCTGAAGGCTATCTGGATATTGGTGTACCTCAAGGATCCATTTTAGGACCACTACTGTTCATATTGTATACCAGAGATCTTGAAGAAATTGTCACAAAATATGGTTTCTCGATACATTTGTATGCAGATGACACACAGGTGTACTTTACTTTTGATGTTCACAGTTCTAATCCTGATTTAACAGCTGTGAAAAATTGCTTTCTGGAGATAAAGCAATGGATGACAGTTAACTTCCTAAAACTGAATGATGAAAAAACAGAGTTCATTGATATAGGACCATATGTCAGCCCAATCCAGACAATGGATTTAGGAGACCTCTCAATCTGCCCTGTTAGCAAGGCCAAGAACCTGGGATTCCTTTTCGATCACCAAATGAATCTGGACTCTCAAATAAATGCTGTCTCCAAAGTATGTTATTTGAATCAAAGGGACTTAGCAAGAATCGGTTCGAAGCTTTCCCATGACCTAAAAGTTCAGTTAGTTCACTCCAATATCCTCTGTTTCATAGACTACTGCAACTCAGTCTATTATGGAATAACAGAAAAGAATCTTCATAAGCTACAAAAGATACAGAACAATGCTGCTAGATTTATTTTTGGTCTTTACGGAAAAAAGATACGTGAACCTATCATGCCTTACCTCAAAAAGCTCCACTTTCTGCCTGTTCGGTTCAGAATTAAGTTCAAAATATCACTTCTGGTCTTCAAGTGTCTTAATAACATAGCCCCTCAGTACTTACAAGGACACGTCAATCTAAGGGAAGTAAGAAGACAAAGTTCCAGACTAGATGATGACTTTTATTTGTTGAAAGTTCCTCCTGCTCCTCATTTCAGACGAACAGATGCTGCATTTATGTTTTGTGGACCAAAAATTTGGAATGAACTACCCTACTCAGTGAGATCATTATCATCTGTAGAATGTTTTAAAAATGCCCTAAAGACGTTTTATTTCCAACTAGCTTTTGATAATATTTCTAATATTTGTCCATAATGTCTGAACTGACATGAAAGTGCATAATTTTGGTAACTTCATACAAATATTTGTTCATAAAATCTGAACTGTTTAAAAAGTCCATAATCTTGCTATTTCAACACTAAGTCTCGCTTGAATGACTTTAATGTACATCTTTGTTGGGTATATTTTAATGTCGAAGCGTGTAATAAATGTTAGAATTTATTTATTTATTTATTTATTTTTTCATCATAGTTTGCTCAGTTGTTTGAATGCAGTGTCATAAAGGCCATGGCTCCATGGGAAAAGAAAATATACCCAAATTTTAGCCTTAAAAGGAATAATTTTTGTGCGCTCGCGCTATTTATGTAGCGTGGGCACCTGCTAAAGCAGTAGTACATACATATTACATTACACTGGATCGGCTTACACAGTGTAATTTCCTTCAGTCTGCGCCGCGCGCCTATATAAACGTATGCGGCGCAGACTGGAGGAAATTACACTGTGTAAGCTCCAGTGTAATGTAATATGTATGTTCTACGGCTTAAGGGTCGCAAGGAGTTCAAAGAACACTGGAACATTGAAAAAGGAGTGACGTTCATTCCCCAAAATACTTTGAAAAGTTGAAAATAAGTGAGCTGGAGGATGGAGGGGTGATCGAGGAGACTACTCTACCACAGGGTTTAGCTGTAGTTCTCTTTAAATGTAGCCCTATAGTCTGTGAATTTATAATCTATCCTTACTGTTTAAATATTTATATAATGTCTCATTACTGTATTTTAAATGAGGAGTATTCATAACACAAATGAAGTGATTATTCTTATTACATTTCATTCCTAGTGGTTGCAGCAATGATAACATGAGTGTTGAAGCCACCAATGTATCTTATCACCAAATATGCAGGTACCAAAATTAATGCATACAATAAGTATCAAATTATGTGTGAAGCAGTAAGATTAACTTGTGTATCTTTGTCTATTAATATTTATTTAATATACTACTAGAAATAGTACTTCACAACTAATAAATCTTAGATCAGAGCTCGTTTAAATATTTTTCCATGCATGCTTCTTTAGCTACAGAAACAATTTCAGGTTGGTGAAATAAGACCGGCTACTGTAGATGACTTCAAACAATTACTAGATATTGTTTTCAGTCATGAAGGCTGGGAATCTAAGCCAGATAAAGGTAATTTCCTAAATAATATAATATCATATTTGGACTATAATAACAACAGATCTGCAATTGATTCTGCACTGTACTACTGTATGAATCATTGCTTAATGTTTTATCTCTAAAGTATGCAAATATTTCAGCTGGTGTTAAAGTATGGACGAAGTCGATGCCCTCATCTCCGGTCAAGATGATAAAGGTTTCGATCAATAATTCTATAAATTACTATTAAAAATTTTTGGAACACTGTAAACATGACTGTATGAGTTGAGAATTGAAGTAGAGTCATCCAAGCTAAGTTTAATGCACGTTTTGATAACCGTTACTAGGAAGGTTGTCTACAGAGCGAAGAATAGTTGTGATCGAAGTTTTTAAAACGAGAAGGCTTAACAAGGCGATATCCCCAGTTAGCAGTAGACTTTGACGATATGACAGCACTGACATTGTACGATGTGCTTCACGACCCAGATTTTAGACCAGTTTGGGATGAAAGCATGATCGAAGGTGTGTATCTGCTGTAACACTGCTCATCTATAATTTGGAAAACGTTGTATTAGATGTAAATTAGATGTAAATTAAATGTAAATTAAATGTAAATTAGATGAACAATTTGTTTGACTGTATGAGTCGAGACTTTAGTAGAATCATTTAAGTTTAAGTGTACATAATGTTGCATGGGGTTTCGGAACCATTTGACATTAATAATCTGAGAAAAAATGATCAGAAACTTCAAAATTGGAGTTTGAATTAAATATTCCCTCACAATATAATAAAATGTTGAACAATTTATATTTAATTTTCAATGCAATTCTCTAAGTAACCAATGTCTGTTACCAACTTAATCATGTTATACTAGTCTTACTGTTCAGGTCTCGATATTTACAAGATTGATGATTTTAACGATATTGGGTACTACTCTCTTAGATGTCCTCGACCTTTGAAAAACAGAGATTTCGTTAACCAGCGTTCATGGGGTCAGTTCACAATTTCTATTTCACTTTACACTTTGCCTTTTTGTCAATTTAATTCTAACATTTATCTTTCTTGTTGCATCTATCTTGCTTTAACATTTTTCCATATGGAAAATTATGTAATGTTTTAAAATGTTTAGTAAATTTTGCTTTCGTAAGTGTATTTGTATATTTATTCAGGACGTTACAGAAGGAATTAATTTAATGTAGTTCGAGGAGTCCTCACTCTCCTCACGTGCAACAATGGTGTTTCTCTTGTCTCTAATATCTAACATCATATGCAAATCAACTACTTTCACTTTCACTTTCAGGTATTTTTGGAGATGATCATATGATTATGAACCACACTATTGATATCGAGGAGATGCCCGTCAAGAAGGACTTTGTCAGAGGAGTCAGTTATCTCACAGGTAATTAATTTTAATTAACAACTTGTCTTACTACAATAATTGTAATCAGGAGAATTAGCTAATCAGTTAATTGCTTAAATAGAATCTAGAGGGATCGGAAAGTCGTGATGAACGGGCCAAAATCTATGTTCAAGTTGTTGATCTCTACAGCAGCTACAGCTATTATAGGCTACAACAAAATCTAAATTACAAAGTTTTTTATCAAGATTAAAAGTCAAATAGTGACCCACTTGACATGTTATCCGATATGTGCCAAAAATCTAGCAAGAAATCTTGTGCTATCTTCTCCTTCTATATTATACCTCAGCTCAGTGAATAAATTCAATAAACAAGTTACATCATTATATATCAGATCTTGTTTGCTCAAATCTCAATTACATCTGTTTAATATGATAATAAATACTAATGATTAATACTAATAAATTAACTCGACCATTTTAACTGTAGTCAAACAATATTATCATCTGCAACTTATTACCAATTCTTGCGTTATATCAGGAGCTCTCATATCCAATTAAACATAAGTCTATAATCTCGCATTAATTATATTACTTAAAATCTAATTTTAGCTAAAATAGCTGTTAGAACGTTAAATTAGTATCTGCAGGAAATGATATTTTTATTACATCTGGTATCGGAGTATTACTGCTGCGCTCTGCACTTCCAAACTTCTAAACTTATAATTACACGAATAAAAATGAGAGTTGTTAGTATTTAGATGACGTATTATCACGTTATCTTCAATCAGTCTGACTTACGAGTTACGACAGTTCCCAGACAAACATGGTTTTCATCTTACTGTCAGTATAATTAATGTTGTGTGATGAAAAATTTGATCAGATGTTAAGTCTTTGACTTAATCGTCTGCGTCAGTTACATAAAAATTATATTATTAGGCCAAAATTGTCTGTTTAAAATATTTACAAGAGCATTTCCTTTTGAATTCATTACAGTTGAAGTCAGAATTTAAAAATAAATGTAAGATGGCTTATAATATTATAATTTGTGTGAATTTTTAAATGAATTATTAATTAAATATCCATACGTGAATACCGAATAATGAAGTAGATTAGGTTGGTTTAACAAATTTCTGACACTGACTCATGATGATAAGGTTCTCTTTTATGTAAACCACATAATCATTGTCATGACGTGCATGTGTCACTATGGAGCATCACGTGTCATGACGTCACACCACGTGTCATGACGTCACACCACGTGTCATTAAATAATAATATAAGTACCTCCCACATACTGGCTACTGCACAAGAGAGCCGTGTAGAATTGAGTTATCATGCTCATTAGGGTTAATTAGTGCCACAAAAGTAAGCTTGTCAGTCAGTCAGTGCTGTGTTGTATGACACGTGGTGTGACGTCACACCACGTGTCATGTCGTCACACCACGTGTCATGTATTGTGTGTGTAGAGGACAGTACGCCTGTCTGATGAATATTATGGCCATTAGATCAGTTATATAGCTGATGCCTGATAGCATTGTAGAATATTAATGATGTACGGCTAATTGTTATGTAAAATGTAATTGTAATGTAAAATGTAAGGTATGATTAAAACATAACCTATAACTTATGCGGTGAAGTTGGGGAGAGATTTGAGATGTTAGTGTCAGATGATTGGTGGCGTTTTGTAAAACTTATAAAACTTGTAGAACTTTTATTTAAACTCAACATTTGCACTAACTATCCGTACATTCGTTCAATGAAAAAAGCAAATCGATGTGTGTCAGTTAGTTTGTAAATGGAAGGTAAACGACAAAGTGTGGCACATCCGCTAGTAACGTGCCATCGCGGTAAATGAACCACGATTCCCTCCTTACTTACACACTTACTTTAAATGTGAACCACGATTCCCTCCTTACTTACACACTTACTTTAAATGTGAACCACGATTCCCTCCTTACTTACACACTTACTTTAAATGTGAACCACGATTCCCTCCTTACTTACACACTTACTTTAAATGTGAACCACGATTCCCTCCTTACTTACACACTTACTTTAAATGTGAACCACGATTCCCTCCTTACTTACACACTTGCTTTAAATGTGAACCACGATTCCTTCCTTACTTACACACTTACTTTAAATGTGAACCACGATTGCCTCCTCCCTTTCCATTTCAAGAATTGACAAAAAAGAGGAATAGATAAAAAATATTATATATATATATACTCAAAATGTTCAAGACCAGATAAAAATATTGATGTAACAAAGTGTCGTTCAACCTCTGTTATCTTCTGTTCTCAGTCTCCGAAGTATGACCGTCACACCACGTGTCATGACGTCACACCACGTGTCATGACGTCACACCACGTGTCATGACGTCACACAAAGTGTCGTTCAACCTCTGTTGTCTTCTGTTCTCAGTCTCCGAAGTATGACCCAACATTCAAAAAGTTAAAATCCATCATTCAGGGCCAAAATTCTGAGGAAAATGGTGAGAAAATGAAGGATTATTCCACCACGGACAGTAAATGCTTTCTAGACATTTTTTCCATTTTCTCGGCCATCAATCTTATGCATTTGGGAGCTTTGTTTACTATACATCATATGCTTACATTATCGTTACAGATATGTTCAGTTCCATTATAATCATCTCCAAACATGTTTAACATAGTAAGTTTAAATCTAGAGCAGCGACTTTAAATTTAGAGAAGAGTGAAATTCAGAGAGAAATTTAGAGAAGTTTTCTTCATCGTCACACGTGTAACATAATATTAAATATTAGATATTGATCATCATGTGATGAGGTTTGATAAGACACGTACCATTGAGCACCAGCTGTTCACTAGGTAATATTCTAGACACTCCGTCTCAGTTACAGAGACAATTGAGTGTAAACTCAGTTACAGAGACAATCGAGTGTAAACTCAGTTACAGAGACAATCGAGTGTAAACTCAGTTACAGAGACAATCGAGTGTAAACTCAGTTACAGAGACAATCGAGTGTAAACTCGGTTACAGAGACAATTGAGTGTAAACTCAGTTACAGAGACAAATGAGTGTAAACTCAGTTACAGAGACAATCGAGTGTAAACTCAGTTACAGAGACAATCGAGTGTAAACTCAGTTACAGAGGCAATCGAGTGTAAACTCAGTTACAGAGACAATTGAGTGTAACCTCAGTTACAGAGACAATCGAGTGTAACCTCAGTTACAGAGACAATCGAGTGTAAACTCAGTTACAGAGACAATCGAGTGTAAACTCAGTTACAGAGACAATCGAGTGTAAACTCAGTTACAGAGACAATCGAGTGTAACCTCTTTCATTGTCATGTTCAAATGGCTGATTGTTGTACACTCTCTTTCTCTCTTTGTTCGGGAATATTCTGGATACCATAAGTAGGTATAATTATAGGTCTCCCATGCAAAATTGATATGTTATGAGATCCAAAACGAACGGGGAATATTCAACCACCTTAATGGGTTAAGAGAGGCATAATATTACACTAAATAAATAATATTACACTAAATTGTGTCCGCATAATATAAATTATAAAATCAATAAGTATTCCAAGTGCCTTCCCTCTGTCAGAGAGTACACTCATCTGATGTTAACACGTGCTTCACCACGTGACCAAACATGTGACCTAACATGGACCATCTCAGCTTGTTATTAACACTATGTCTGACAGTGGAGCACATAATCTGTGTAATAAGTAATCTAGAGTTAATTGGCTGATTTGCCTAATTGGTGGTAGGTGAGTGTGTGTGTGTGTGTATAATTATAACCTGATAATCATTGTGGTGGCCAGCTGTAAGTACGGCTACACTCAGCCTGCTTTGCGAGCTCCTAATTATACCACGATTATGGAGGTCCGCTGTAACTTAGAGCTGGGGTAGACCACGTGACATGACGTCATACCACATGACATTACGTCATGTCATGTGTCATGAACTCACACCATTAGCACGTGTCATTATGGGTGTAACACTGTACGCAATGTCATGGTCTCTATTCTATAATTACCTTGATTGCAACCTCATCCTTATACTAAGACGGATCGTCTGTTCGAGTTGACAGGAGGATGATTAATTTTTGTGGATAAAGTTCGTAGTTCAAGAGATATAATGGAAGGTTAGGATATATCCTTATAAGACGTACAAGACACGTGATCCATCGACTACTGCAACTGGTTATGCCAATGCTATAAAATGTAGACAATTTTACTCTTCTTGTAATAATTACAATGAAATCCCCTACTTATTATTCATCGTTATCCTTATCTTCAAGGTGGCATGTCATCTTGAAATCGTAAACACTAAACAAGTTGGGAAAAGTATTAAAGTGGAAACCTGATTAACAGGTTTTAAGCGGTTCTCGACCATTTAGAACCTTCTAGAACCTTCTAGAACCTTTCTAATCTGGCACCCTCAGAAATGAGAGATCACATCACGGATTCCTTGTATCCCGTAACCCAGTGACAATTAATTGATGATGTGACCCATGGATTTTAGTGGATTGATTTAGAAATGGGTTTTTTGATATTTATTATTCTATGATTTCGTATATACTTTGGGAGTCCTGGAATGCAGCTAGCAGGAGTTGCATTCTGTGGGCACGGTGACTCACGGAGGGAGATCTACGGGGGAGGGGGGAACTACAGGGGGAACAGCTCAGAACTACAGGGGGAGAACTACAGGGGGGGGGGGGAGAACAGCTCAGAACTACAGGGGGGGGGGAGAACTACAGGGGAGGGGGAGAACTTCATGGGGGAACAGCTCAGAAGAAACTACAGGGAGGGGGGAGAATAGCTCAAAAGAACTACATGGGGAGAGAACAGCTCAGAACTACAGGGGGAGCACTACAGCGGAGAGAACAGCTCAGAAGTACAGGAGGGAGATCTACGGGGAGGGGGGAACTACAGGGGGAACAGCTCAGAACTACAGGGGGAGAACTACAGGGGGGGGGAGAACAGCTCAGAACTACAGGGGGGGGAGAACTACAGGGGAGGGGGAGAACTTCATGGGGGAACAGCTCAG